ATAAGGATCCAGAATATATATACTTTATGGGGTCGGAAAATTATATTATAGAAATTACAAACGGAATGACAAACTTATATATACCCTTCTCACGAAGGTGAAGGGTATAAAAATAGTTGGTAACACTACCGGTCTGCTAAAGGTAGTATTAGACGACATGTATTTTACATATGTACTGTCACTTTTTTTATCCATATGTAATTCCGAATGTATGTCAAAATTGTTATTTTACATACGATTCATAATTTTTGCTATCACACCTGCCTGTGTTTTTCCGTATGACATAACCTATAATGTAATCAAAGCTGTCTTTTTAATGTGTAAATAAATGTTAAAATTATAAATTATAAAAAATACTTATTTTCATGTTCTTTATTCATTTTCTTTAATTTACTTTTTTCAAAAAATTGTATTTCAAAGCAAAACAGCTGTTTTGTTTATATTTGTCATAGGAAAATAGAAAATGCTCTAATCGAAAAAATTACATATGTATTTCCACATGTATTTTACACATGCAATGTTTCATATGTATCAAACGATATGTACAACTTTTGCAGATGGAAATTTTGACAGTGCATATATAAAATACATGTCGTCTAATACCACCTTAAGCTTTCAGAGTTGAATCTTAAATAAGTGTTAAAACAGTGTTATAATTGTATAATGAACTAACCTTAAAAAATAAAGTTATAAAGTAATTAAAAAATGGAAAATGCAGCCCAAGAATAGTAGTTTTATGATATATTTTTGAATTTTATTTTTGTTGAGTCCTTGTCGTAATTTTTGATATTGTGGTTGTGTTGTGTTGTAATGTCAACATAACCTGTAAGTTCCGTGGACCAAAAGTTGAGTTTTGCATGGAAGTTGACATGTGGAAGTGTTCGTCCAAGTATGTATTTTGAGCGTATATTTATATATCGCCAGTATTTTTCAGCAAATTCCCACAATTGTAATTTTAATTTATCACAATTTTTCATTAATGCTTCGATTTGTCTATGGATGACGGGAAAACTGGGTTTGATTTTGATACTTATGAAAATTCTTTTGAACTAGATGTTAAAGAATACATATTCGTTTTCATAATATTTAATATTCATGTCTGTTCTGTAAATCGATTCGTTTTCAAAACCGAATTTGGTGTTCTGCAAATCGAATTTTTATTTGAACGCAAAACTCAGAAAAATAAACATATTTAAATAAAAAAGTGTTTAAAATTCCCATAGCATTTATATTAAGTTACAATTGTATTAAAAAATGCAAAAAATTATTATTTCTTTTATTAGAATAAAATTAAATTCGATTTACTTTCGACTAGATTTGTGTACTCGGTTTTAAAACGAGAAAAATTATGAGAGCTCGTTTTTAAACGAGAAATTTACTCGGATTCGGTTTACAGAACAGACAGGATTATTATTAAGTGTTTGATTAAAAAATACAAATAATTTTTTAAAAACCCATTTAAAAATATATAATGAAATATATGAAACAACTAGGTTAGTATCATAAATATGTATGTACTTACAGGGAATGTATCTGAACAAAAAATCCAGATTAATTGGAATTTACACACTAAAATTACCAGTTTTTTGGTTGTGGACATTTGGCTGTCGTTTTATGGAAAATTTAAAATGATTGTCATTATGAAAAAGTACTATATTGTTAAACTACAATATAATTTTCAGAACCTATAAAGTATATATATTCTGGATCCTTATAGATAGCGGAGTCGATCAAGCCATATCCGTCTGACTACCCGTCTGTCTGTCTATATGTCTATATTTTAAAACTGGGCAGGATCCGAAGAGCTCAAGCTTTTTTATCTAATTTTATTTTCTCTATAATCTATGTAAATGCAATGAAATTAATAATATCAGTTTAGATGCTTCCATTTTAGTGGGCGTAGGGGGTGGGCGTGGTCCAATTAACAATATTATTTTTAATTTACTTATTTATATACCATAGCAATTAAATGTACCGAAATTAAAAGCTCTGACATGATTATTTTAATTTATGCCAAAAAAATCGATTTGAAACCAGTGCAATACTCAAATATTGCATGATGAACATTGATATCCATATAAATATTTAGGAGTAGATATTAGGGTGATTGGCTTGGTTTCCCAACCGGTTTTAAAACCATTTATTTTTTTTTTTTGTTTTACTACTGTCGATTTTTTCTCAATGTTGATTTTTCGAATATCGAATAACCTCGTATTTTTACTTTAAAAACAGGGTTCGAATACTTTTATTTTTGCTTTGCATTCAACGGAAACTTAAATTAAATTTTGAAGTGAATAATAATTCATACCAAAAAAGTTTGACAAATGTTGGTACCAGGGACTAAACTACATTTGAACAATAACAACCGGTTTTTTCAATTGTCAAATATTCGAACTATTCGAAAACAGGTATTTGGAAAATATCGAATAATTGATCACCGTAGTAGATATGCATATGGACTAGCAAGGGGTACGGCAGCTACTTATTAAAATTAAATATACAAATACGTTTGCCTGTAATTATAACCGCTGAATTCGATTATAGTTTCCACACCGATGAAGACCTTATCACTATTTTGTTGTGCAATTCAGGTCCATACATGGCCAATATTCAACAAAAATGGAAAAGTACTTCTATTGAATTAGACAAAAAAGCTAAACAACTTCTAGAATGTGAAATCAGGTTTATTTAGAAGAAATATTTATGTACTAAAATTGTTTGATTGGAATTTCTTGTCAAGTGACTCAACTCAAAACATCGATTTTGACGAATTTTTCACTAAGGTTATTACTATTGGATAGTAGGTCAGACACAAATTTGTAATGAAAAAGTCGTATGTTTATATTGTATGTATTACGTTTTACTTTTTATTTATAACGTACATTTTTTAATTAAAATCTAATTTGCATTTACATATGTATATGGAGAATTTAAAAATCGATGTCTTCCGTTTTGGAGGCAATTTGCACCAATGTTAGTACTATGGGATAATAGGCCTGCCACAAACTTTCAGCTCTATCGGTCAAGAACTGCCGGACTTAGAGGGGGTCAAAGTTAGACATTATTGAAATGAATGTTCAAAGGAGTTCAGATAGCTATTTCTTCACTCTTTTCAATTTTTTTTTTAATTTTTCTAAATTTTTGTCAAAATTGTCCTTTTTTTGCTTAAAAGAATGCTTTTACAATTTCCTTGAAAGGCTTTATAGTCCCATAATGGGATGCGAGTGGGATATCTATCAAAAAAATAATTTTTTAACTCAATAAAATTCTTTCAATATTTGGCACTTAATTGTTAATCTTTGTCTGAGGAAATTCGAAAAAATGTGCAGAGTTGTCGGTCAGAATTCGGTATGAAATCTGATATAAATTCCTGGGGAAATTCTGAAAGAATTTTCGACATATCTCATTGAAGTCGGACAAATGTCTGATACCATGTGTGACATTCTTTCGACAGTTCGATAGTTCGTACAAAAGTCTGATCAAGTATAAGAAAATGGCGTGACTATTCTGATCAACGTCTGATGAAAACTATTTCCATATATATAATTTATTATGGTTTGATTTTATTAATTTTAATAATAATTTATAAGCTTCCATTATTCATGACTTCTTAAGGGTACATTAATAAATAATATAAACTTATAGATTATTTTTAAAATTATATTTCATATTATATATGAAAATAGAGTTCACTATATATACATATATTTAAAGTTATAAAATTAAACCATAAAAAGTTATGTAATTTTTGTGTATTAACAAAGTTTAAAGAAATTTAAACAATAATCATCACATAAGCCGATGTTGTTTACTTGATTTCCGAAGACCAACTGTGATAATAAAAGGAAATAAAAATTAAATTCCCTTTTAAAGTACAGTTGACGAATTTCAAAATATAATGATTTTTATTAAAAAAACAAAATTTCCTCCAGATAATGTGCAGAGTTGTCGCAAAGTTTTCTTACAAAAGTACTGAAAATGGGAACAAAATGACGAAGCAAAAAATATCAGAAAATTCTGACTATTCTGTTAAATATCTAAAGGAAATTTATATTATTTGCTTAATTGTCTGACGAAGTTACAAATCAATTCTCTTATGTGCACATTTATCGGATATAATTCTTAAGCCATTTTATATTTTACTTCAGAAAATGTAGAGACTATTCTCCTTTATGTCTAAAAAATAATATAGGAATAAAAAAACAAATTGTCCTCCGCCAATGTGCAGATTAGTCTCATAATCTTCGTAACACTGAAATTCCCTTTCGACAGTGCAGAAAAGTCTAACAAACAGTTTGCCGACTATTCTGTAAACTGTCTAAAGGAAATTTAGAAATTCGATAAAAATTCTGATAAGTATAAGAATTATTTCAGAAAATTTCTGACATCAGACATGTCTGAAAAAATTGTTTACTGGGACATTACATAAGAAACAAAAAAATAACATGTTATAACACTAAGAAGCCCAATGTCTCACCTACCAAGAAACGGTTTCAAAAATTCCGATCAAATCAAAAGCTACAGATCTTGTGAAATGGTCCACTGTGCGGCCCCATATAAATCCTAAAACAAGCCAATTTTTATACCCTACAACACTATATGGAGAGGGTACTATTCGATTGTTCTGATGTTTGTAACACTCAATATATTTGTCTTATACCCATCTTAAATTATTCCAGTCGGTTCAGAATCACTTTCCGATTCGATTAAGCTATGTCCATCTATGTGTCCATGTAAACCGTATGCGCTCGCTACAGGTCGCAAATTTCAAGATAATTTGATAATAGTTATTATTGAAAATAAATCACATTTAATATTCGTAAAATTACTTGTTTGATTATTTCTTAGCGCTTGAGATTTCAGCAAAAGGGGCATTGCTTTGTTTATAAACAGAAACTTAAAAATTGGAGTTCGCGTACTTTTTATGATATCAAAAAGGTACTGTATATTTTTTACTGGAAAGTTCTTAAACACACCTACTAACATACAAGAATACAAACCTGTTACATGTAGTTTTGTTGTCTAAATCATTGAGTTGTTTTTTGTAATAACTTTCTCCGATGTCATAATTGGCTCCATAAATTCGAGTTCTTCTATGACGATTAGACATTCTGAAAAGGGAATATATGTATAAGTGATTAATTTAACGTAACATACATTTTTAGTGCTAGAGTGCTATATTCTATACAGAATCCCTTTCCCTATAAGCTAGTTTAAACGTGGAAATTTAAATTATATAAATTTTGAAAACCTAAATTTGGTTTACCTAGCGACATTATTGAAGATATTCTTTATTTATAAATAGCGCAACAATTAAATATTGACTATAGACCAGCCAAGCGCAGAAAGTGAGACGCTAAAAAACTGTTATTGTAGTGGTGAGAAAATACTAAAAAACACTTAGAAAAAATATTGCCTAATTACGCTTGTTATGATCAAATTTCATAACAAGTAAAATAGTAAATTTTACAGATAAAACATATTCAAAGAAAAGAAAAATATATATTTCTTCACAAAGATAAAGTTTTTTATTTAAAATTTGTAAAAAAAAAAGTATTAAAAATACTGTTTTTATGTGTTTTCATTCTTATGCATTAGTAAATTTTTTTGGAGTGTACGTGTTTTTTGCAACTAATTCTCTTGTTTACAAATTGTGTTGTTGTTTTTACAAGTTGTTTTTGCAATTTTTGAAACAAAGCGACATCAACCTACATTGTTGAATGCTGTTAATCAACTGAAGATAATTTTTTGCATTTTTACGCTCTTGCTATGAGTTTTGTTTACAATCGGGTAGTGTACGTGTGAATTGCCGAAAATCTTCGTAATATGAACAATATGAACGCGCAACGCTGCTATAGACATTCAAAAAGTGTATACAGCCTACCCACTCAGTGTTGCCATATATTTTTTGAAGAAAACTTTTTATTTTTATGAAAAAAACTTTTTTTCAACAAAAAAACTTTTTTTGTACTAAAATTACAAAATACCCAAGAAAAATTAGTGAAAAAATTAGCAAATTGAGGAATTTAAAATAGCTTAATGATAATTGGTACAGAACTTTTCCTTAACATCACTAGCAAGGAATTACTGGATATTGTGGTCTTAGACACCATAAATTTACACTTGAAATGTCATGATGAATCTATGTAGATTCTGTGTACTACAAGAGGAAACCTCTGAACTTTTGTAACTACCCGTCATTGGGAACTCGAAACACGAAGATTTTGTCTTACCCAGACCCAGATGATATCTTCAAACACTCACCGATTAATCCATTTATCTTCATGCGCGAATTTGGCCTAGTATGGTGAACCAATGGGCTGCACAAAATCTCTACAATATGGTCGAAGTGCATTGTGTCCTTAACGTCTATTCTAAGGGATTAAGGTCATCAACACCGGTAAATTTTTTTTTTTTTTCAGTTTTTAGGAATATCTCGAATATTAATGGTATAAAATATTATTTTGTTAATGGTAAGCATTGTTTTTTTATTTTAAACTTATTTATTGATTAAATAAAATAAAAACTGAAAAACTGTATAAATTTTCAAAAAACTTTTTTTATTGGAATAAAACTTGAAAACTTTTTTGAATCTCAAAAAACTTGCAAAAAAAGGGAAAACTTGACATATGGTAACACTGTACCCACTAAACAATTTTTGCCGAATTCGTACCGACAGTCAGCACAAATTGCCGATTTCGTATCCGAATTCCGTCAGAATTCGTTACGAAAATCGTATGAAAGGTTGCTCGGAATTCAGAACTCTTTGTCTAAGGAAATTCAGAAAAAAGTGCAGAGTTGTCGGTCAGAATTCGGTAGGAAATCTGATGTAAATTCCTGGGGAAATTCTGAAGGAATTTTCGACAAATCTGATTGAAGTCGGACAAATGATTGATACCACGTGTGACATTCTTTCGACATTTCGTACGAAAGTCTGATCAAATATAAGAAAGTCTGATAGATGTCGGATAAATGTCTGATAAAATATCCGACAGTTCGTACAAAAGTCAGATCAAGTATAAGAAAGTGTGATAGATGTCGGATAAATGTCTGATAAAATGACGACAGTTCAGACAAAAGTCTGATCAAGGTTAAAAAAATGGCCTGACTATTCTGATCAACGTATGATGAAAACTATTTACATATATAAATTATTATGTTAATATGTAAACCATATTAATTTTAATAATAATTTATACACAGAGGAAAAAATAAATATACACGCCTGGTACCAAATTAACACCAAATTTTTCAATAACATCCATTGTCAAGTATATACATACATACAACAACAACATGTAATGTAGACCACGCAACTTTGTCAACATTGCAACAATTCGTTGTCGAAATCTAAACTTTATGCACATACGTTGTCTAAATGTTAACAAACGTGGTTATCTCACTATTGGCAACGCATTTTGAGCTTACCACGTTTATTAACTTTTTTTTTATTGGACCAGCACTCAGGGGATGACCCCTACTTATGCGAAGCATTGTGTTGGAACTAGGAAAATAGGTTGTGGGAAGGAGGATAGAGGGAGTAGTGTTTGTGGACATTTGATTTAAATCTTCTTATATCGAAAGTGGCAGGGAATACCTCCGCAGGAAGTTTATTCCACATACGAAGAGTGCGGCTGAAGAATGAATTTTCCCTGTAATGTGTTGTGCGGTCCACTGGCCAATCTACCACAAATGGGTCTGTTCTTGAAGAAAGACGTATGTTACGCAAAAATATACGGGTATCGGGAACAAGTTCCCTAATTTCAAAGGAACACATTCCATTGTAGTATCGATAGAACAGTGAAATATACCCCACATTGCGACGGTGCTCCAGTGAATCAATAGAGTTGGAAACCCTACTGTCACCGATAAGTTCCTTCGCCCTCTCCTGTACGCGGTCGAGTAGCTCCAAAATAGACTTCGAATATCAGATGGAGTTAAGTATGTCTTACACCGTTTTAAAAAACCGAGACACTTGAATGCTTCTTTCGACGCTTGAAAAATGTCTTTAGTCCAGCGGACATCGCACTGAATTTTCATTCCCAGAACATCAAGAGTTTCTGATTCCTTAATATTTACACCACCCATATATATGTATATAGATGGAACAACAATATCTACCAAGCGTTTATGTGTTAAAAAACTACATTGAGTCTTACGGGCGTTAAAATCGACTCTGTTAACACGACCCCATTCGGAGATTTTTATCAAGTCGTGATTAAGCGATTCATTCATATTGCGCTTCATTGCCCCAATCTCTAGAGGGCTTGGCCTATGATTGAATGAATAAGAATGCAGATACTGCTGTCATCCGCAAAAGAGTAGATAGAGTTGGAAGTTTGACATAGAAGGCCATTTATAAAGATAAGAAATAGGGTAGGGGAAAGAACGGAGCCTTGCGGTACCCCTGAATTATTCTTGAACTCGCTTGATGAGATCCCATCTATAAAAACTCGTATAGTACGATCTCTGAGAAAGCTCGAAATAAATCGAGAGAAGTTGTTACCGACACCAAATGCAATTAGTTTTTATACAAGTGCACCATGCCACACTCTATCAAACGCCTTTGAAATATCTAGAGCCACCACTTTACTTTCGCCAAAATTGTGAATGGAATGACACCATTTCTCCGACAGGAAGGCTAGTAAGTATCCCGTAGAGCGACCTCTACGAAAGCCATACTGGCGGTCGTTAAGTAAATTGTTGGTCTCTAAATACTTGGCAAGATGGAAATTGACCATACTTTCCATAACTTTAGAAAGTGCTGAACAAATTGCTATTGGACGGTAATTTTCAGGATTATTAACCTCTCCGTTTTTAGGAATTGGCGTTACATTAGCAATATTCAAGCATGCAGGAAATTTTCCGGCATGGTATAGAATGCTGAAAGATTAGCTAATGGACGAGCTAGCGTCGAAGAACACTGCTTCAAGACCAGTGCCGGTATGCCATCTGGTCCAGGAGACTTGTTAATGTTGAGATCTGTTAGAACCTTTTTAACGGCACGCGCTCGAAAGAATATATTTGGCATAGTTACTGAAACTTTTCGAGCTCGGGCAGTGGTTGATCGCTAACCGGCAAGCAAGAATTGTTTGCGAATAACTCAGCTAAAAGGTTAGCTTTATCAACCGGGTCAGTGAATGTTTGGTCGTCCTTGAAAAGCGTCGGAATTGAAGAACTAGCATTATCCTTTACACTTTTAACGAACGACCAAAAGGTTTTCTGCCCCTAGGAGCAGCAAGAACCCTAGCCCGAAGGCGCTGCTCGTGTAGAGCTTTTTGGCGTCTAAGCACTCTGGCACACGAAGACTTCGCCTTTTTGCGCAGCAGCAGTTTGGACGTTTTTGTTATTACGCCAAATTCTGAAAGCTTCCCCTCTGGATCTGATGCATTTTTGCACTTCTGATTAAATCAAGACTTTTGCCTAGGCCTAATCGACGATTTTTTTGTTGGAATGAATGTTTTCATTCCCAGCATAATAATATTTTGTTGTCTAGGAAACAAAGTTTCCAATTGAATTGCCTATAGAATTCGTTGAGCTGAGCCCAGCGAGCTTTTTCGTAAATAAAAATTAAACGTTTCGGAGCTGTTTTTGAAACGTTACGAAGTTCAGAAAGCGGAAAGGAGGCGGAGATGGTGCAGTGATCCGAATTTCCGAGAGGTTCAAGAATATCCACTTCATACTTATCAGGATGTGAGGTGAGAAAGAGGTCGAGGGTATTATTTTGGTGCCCCTCAACACATGAAATATGTGTTGGTTCATTCACTAATTGCGCAAGGTGGTTGTGCGCGGCAAATAACTCAACATATTGGCCTTCCGGAGTTGTATGGCTTGAATCATATAGTAGGGATATAGGCGAAACTGAAGGCGTTGTCAAACAAAATTTATTATTCTCTTCACACAGACGAGTTCTGAGAGAATAAAACACACTTGAGAGAACTAAACGCACTAACAAAACTTCAAATTTTCTTCGCGAAATTGCGAGGATATTAGCACTTAATAGTTTTTCTTATCACTTAAACTTAATATTTATTATTTTTTGCCACACTTTTAATGTATTCAAAACCCCGAAAATAATTTATATTTTACAAACGAAAAAAAATATTTTTTA